GAAAAGAAATTTGTAGGAATAAATTTTGAGTTTTATAAAGATACAGATCTGGTTCCCATGGACACCCATCCACATTTTATTAGTCTATCAGTAATAAGAAACCTAAATATTTTTTGAAAGTATTTGAATAAATTGTCTGAAAAAATTGCTTACATAGAAATAAGAGAAAACAAATCTTAATAGAATCAATATTAACGAAGAAATAGTACAAAAAGTTTCATGATTAATGTTAGTTAATTCATGTATGGGAACATAACAGAAATTCCTGCTTTCTATGGGGAATATATTCAACCGTTTATCATTATTTTATATAAATGATTTGTTATTTCATATTTTCATATCTACGAAATTTACCAATGATGCGGCACATACTCTAGTACAATAACTTTTTTTTAAAACTATATATTACAAATAAAATGTCATGAATTTAACTGTTGTAGTCGTGTTGGGCCACGTCCGATCTGAATGATACAACCAACCTTTTCTTCATTACTTTTTGTTCTGCTTCTTCTGCAGGATGTGTTGATTTTTCGGGAATGGCGGGGAAGGTAATTGTTAAGATGTTGGTTTATTCTTTAGAAATTAAGAAAGAAATGGGATAATGCCAAAAAGCAGCTCGGGAAATGATATGTGAAGAATCTTCAATTAAAGATTAATACCTGAAGATAAGTGGATTGACTAATTATTTTTGGCAAATATGTAAATAATTGTCATGTAAGTAATTGACAATTGGTTATTGTTCTGACTAAATAACAAAATAATAACATGTCTATCCGAGAGTCATATTTAAATTAAAATACCTGATTAAAAATTAAATAAGTTAAGATGCCTTATTCGATCGTTTTCTTAATATATCTAGATATCTTTATATTCTCGATAATTAATTTTGATACTTATTGATACGGATAGGATATTTGTTATGCTTAGGACATCAGTTGGTAATTTATTTCGTTATCTCTAAAAAAGTAAATATTAATAAAAATGGATTATATATTATGTACTTATGGTCGTGAATCTATCGCTTGTGGTTATTTGGTTTTTATTTGAAAAACTATGTTCGATTTTTCGAATTATCAAAGTAACTATTTATTGTATGGGAAGGAGTTGCTCGGGTCTTGTTTAGATTAGGCCCGCCAATGATTTTTTAATGATATTTAGTAACAGTTGTTATGTAACTTGATACCATTGATATTGAAATAAAATCACATGTTTAAATATTACTTAATTTAGTATTAAAATGTTTTTGGTGGAACTCAATCGCTGTATGTTAGACTCGTATTTCTTTCACTAGGAGGCAGAGAAACTCAAATGAAGACGTTTTAGATAAAATCCTTAAGAACTTAGTAGAATTTTGGACTCCGCAGGTACCTGGAGTAACTCATTAAAAGTATGTTAATGTTTTTGGTCATGTATAAAAAGTTCCTATTAAATAAATCATATGTTTCATTAACCCATATTATTTAATTTATCTATTTTATAATTAAGTAACTGTTACTAGATAAAATAACTGGCGGGCCTAATCTAAACAAGACCCAGTTTCTCGGGGCCGCGGTCAAATATATACTATAAACTAGAATAGTATTTTACTAATCACGTCGATGTTTCGACCCACTTTGTAGGTCATCATTAGGGTGTGGTATCAGGCACTGCAGAAAGCATTTGGTAGACTGGTAGTACACTACAGACCATTAGCGGATCCAGGATTAAATTTTGGGGGAGGGCTTCAGCCCGAAAGCTTTTTTTTTCATGAAAATAAGGATAATTACTTTGGAAAAACAGAAAGAAACTAACTACCTATATGAAATGGCGTATAAGTGATTCCTTAAGTCCTTTTAAATGTAATTACACGATCAGTAATACTTAAAGAGGTATTTTTAAATTTTTTTTCCATAAAACATGGTTATATTTTACCATTTTGGGGCTTCAGCTCGAAAGCCCCCCCGTAGATCCACCCGTGCTACACACTGGTGGTCGACCAACTGCTTCCTGCAGTGTCTGATACGACACCCTAATGAAGACCTACAAAGTCGGTCGAAACGTCGGCATAATTAATAAAATACTATTCTAGTTTATAGTATTTATTTGACCGTGCCACCGACCAACTCCTTCTCATATCATAATCACCGTCAACCATCTCTATACCATTATAACTATTTATTGGTTGGGTTTGCATTATATAAAATATTAAAATTCCTGGGAAGTCTTGTTTGTACTGACTTCTTCTTTCATTAATAGAATCATAAAAAAATAGATACGATAAAAAAATAAATGAGGTTGAGTGAATCTGTAATTTTAACTATCTATCTTTTCTATAATTTTCTTTAATATGCACTAAAACATTTTTGGTTTAATATCTCGTGTATGGTACACACAGAATATTTTTAACGTTAATATTGTTTGAATGTTATAGAAATGATATTTACTATTTCATATTGCCTGACGAAATACTGCTCACTTCTGGAAAATATATATAAATGTTTTACAATGGCATTTCGGATAATTGTAAGTTTAGCAAGAGCCATTCATTATTCCGTGATGCATGACATTTTTTCATGCTGTCGGACGCCATTTTTTCCATGGAAACACCCCGACCTTGGGCCCATTTAGTTCTTAGTGGAAATTCGTGTACAGAGTTCTTCCTTGAAAATGAGTACAACATATAGAACTAAGGCAGAGATCTGTCTCTAGCCCTGCACGTAACCAAATTATATAGGATACAATAACCACACAGTAAATAGAGTAATGTAGAAAAGTTTATTGAGTAATTAGTACAAGATAAAGTGATGGAAAAACAATCAATAAAGCCAAGCAGAAACCATGCACAGCAAGTAACTATCTCAGGATTGGTCCAATAATGGAGAGTATATTTTTATCTGTCGCTATTTACACCTATTATCATTTTTCATTTTCGAAATTATTTTGGAATGTATTTTATAGAAGACGTTAAATAATCCAGTACACAAGGTGCTTCCCAAAAAGTAATAGCTTTATGCTTTTTAGCCAATGAAATGCTTAACAAAACATTCCCTATGAATATGGGTACTAATCTAATTCTTTACAAGTTTTTGAGCAAAAATCTGAAAAAAATTAATTTTGGATTCACTGGAAATTGATGAAAACACGGCCAATTGTATTAACGTTGGAATGTCAAATTTAAAACCAATTTGTTATTTTTAGGAAAATTAGTTTTAAGTTTTTTTTTTGTAAAAAAAGGAAAATGTTGTACCAACAGACTCGGAACCAAGTTTGTTCAGGAAGGTAAAACTTAGTTTGATTTGGGAGAACAACTTTTCGGTTCCTAAGGTTACTCAGGCGTCTGCTATCTTCGATAGCTCGGAAGCTTATATTGGTTTTTAGATCATCTTTCTTTTTTTGAAAAACGACATATTAACATTAAAATAACAATAAAAAAATAGCAAGTTGGTTCAAAATTCGACGTTGAAAATAATTTAAAATTCAACAATTCTTCTGAAATTTATGTTCCCATCTGATATTGGCTTTTATCGACGCCAAAAGTGAATTCTCCAAGATGTTAGTCTCGATGTTATTGTTAATACAAGAGTCGTTTCTTTATCAACCACAGAAATGAGTAAAAAACATTGTCTTTTGTTTGAAAACTTTGATGACGTACCCATGTGTATAGGAACTTTTCTGTTGAGCATTTTATTTTCTATAAAACCTATGCATTTTTTTTTTTTTTTTTGACACCTTGTGTATTCTGTAAGTGTTTTTGTGTTTGTGTTTGATTTTTGTGAAGTTGATTTTAAGATTACAAATTAATGAAAATCAATAGTTAGAAAGAAAAAAGTGTTTCGTTGATGCGTATAACCTTTTGTACATATTTATACACACATAAGTCGTACTGTATGGTTTCGATATATTATGCATCACAGATAAAAAGTATACATGTCAGATGGAGTTGAACTTTAGTATAAAATTAATTTTCATTAGCTATTAGATATAAATCGAAGAGTTGACCTCTCTGGGACACAAAACTTGTAAAACTTTTTGTGTAGGCTTGGTGTATTTTTTATTTATTTTTTACGTGAACTAATATTTTAATTATGGCCAATTCAGAACATTAATATTTTTCTGTTATTATTATTGAAATATGAACTGAACATGTTAATTGATGCTACAGATACACGCCATATAACATTATAAATGTTTTTAAAATCAAATAATGTTAATATTTTGTAATTAAAATTTTACCGTCAAAGGAAATTTTTTTAATTCGGCTTCCAAACATACGAAACTGTTAATTTGAAGTACCTCTCATTTACACTGGAGACCACAATCAGACAGGAAAATTAATGATTGCAAATTTCTATTTATTAATTATCTTTATATTTTATAAACATTTTTACACTATATTTATTATTATTGTATTATAATTTTATGATTTATTCTTTTCATCGATTTTCATTTATTTCATATTGTTCGAAATCGTTATTGTATTAATATATTTCTTATTGTTTTTAAAATTTATTTTTATGTAAAATTAATAATTGTTTTGGACGTTATTAATAAAATATTTTTTTGCAATTACAGTAACCGATATGTTATTCATTTCAATCATTTTATTATTCTTTTGCAACCATACATTTTTTATTACTTCATATATAAATATAGGCACGTGTGTAAAATATTTTTTCGTCCGCCTCAAAATGATACAAAAGCACCCTTTTTTAAATCTATCATAATGGTTAATTATTTATTTAAAGATTAACCCTCTTATGAAATCAATAGTTTGTTTGCCTAAAATACAATTTTTCATTATCCCTTTGTCTTGGATTTTCCACTATATTTGGTTGTAGAATCAATGTTTTTTATATAAATTAGTGTAATATAAATAAAAATATAATAAAAATAAAAATAAAACTTCGAATTTATTAATAAATGATCACATTTTATTACTATGAGACAGTACATTCCATTTATTGGATCAATCCTTATTCCCGATATAACTAGCTATTAGTCAGAGATAAGGTAAGTACTACCTTCGTGTTACAAAAGCAACACTCGAATTCGCTTGGTAATTCTTCTAATTTTGAGAGGATGTTGGATTCGTTCCTGCTATCATTGCCCTATGGAGATAGAGAGAGAGAGAAACAGAGGCAGAGGGAGATAGATAGATAAAAACATATATTGAGCGAAAGTCTATGAAAAAAATGAAGTCAAAAAACAAAACCAAAGAGAGGGGGAGAGAACTTAGTTTCAGTACTTGTCTTCAATATAAAAATACCGATGAATTAGTTTCAAAATGTTTCAAGTACGAACGAAAAAAAGGCTTTTGACACATTAAAATTACAAAAAGAAAAAAAAATGTATGTATATATTTTAAAAACATATGATTACATATGCTATATGTATAACCATAAAAGAAAAATAATTATTTTGTTGCTCAAAATGGAAAAAGTACATGCTCAAAACTTTAAATATAATCTCACAATCGATAATAATGAGGCCTTCTATTATTAATTAAAACAAAGACATGCTAGTATTTTTAGTATGCCTCCTAATTTTTTGTTTTTACCTAAATTTAATTTTTGTCTTTTTGAAACAATAATAATTTCCAAAAACTTTAAATTGACTTTATAATAATATATAATATAATTATAAATATAGAAATAAAATTTAATAACAGCATTTACTCGCCCAAGAATTTTTCTGTATTTTTATGACGTTTCGGAATCACTTTCTTATCCCCTCTTCAGACTTAATTATATTGTTGTGGACTCCTCTAGGGAGAGCCTAGTCAGACACTGTATTATCACTTTATAAATGATTATTTTCGTAATGCATACCATTATTACCTAAAACTAATTTATTTATAAATCCTTAAAAATTGACATAATTAACTGAGTTTTTATATAAAATATTTAAAAAGTACTTAAATCAATTATCAATTAATGTCATAAAATGATATGAATGAAGATAATTATATTGAAATGGCGAGCTACAAATTTTAACTGCCCCTTTCTAAATTATTCAATGTAAATAATGTTACTATTGTAAGAATTTTTTCTCTGTTATTAAATATTGTTATGCCTGATTTGTTATGTTTTGTAGTAATTTTATTTAGACGAAAATGTTCGTTAAGAAAACAATAAGCGAAGAATAAAATATACAATCTCAAAACTATTAATAAATTTTCAATAACTTTTATTTCTATGCTAAATTGGTTATATGTAATAAAATATTCGTTTAGTGTACTTTAGTTATTTTCATTTCATTTTTAACTCATTTTGTTTCATTTCGTAATTATGGAAGTACATTCGTAGATATATTTGATACCTAAGTTTCTAAACTCAGTGCTGTGCCCATTGACGGCACCGTTCGCCCAGTTTAGAGAAGGATTCAATGCCAATGATGTGGTCAGCGATGAGTTTAGGAATTTACCTTAGATGAATGAATTCAATATTCATATATATTGTATCAATATCATATATCGAATATCATATGTTGAATATCATATATTGAAATCAATATTCATCATAAAAATCCTCTTAGACATTTTATGTCTGAAATTTAAAAATAAGAAAAAATAATCATGTTAACTTATTTACATAAACACAGCATGAAGTTTACGTATGAATTATTTTAACGATAAAAACCCTCATCGTTTCTCTCTCCCTCTCTTACGTATTTTTTTTTCTATCTCTTTTATACCTATAACTATAATTACATTTTCTTTTAGTGTTCACTATCAGTTATAATAAAATCCTCGATAAATAAAAATCATTATAGACAATATAATTCATGTATGTATAAAAAATAAATGAATAACTTTGAAATACAACCATCACCAAAAATATTAAATATAATGACTTCAAGCAATTTTATATTGTTTTTCCGGTTATCGTGTCATTACAGGGTAGTATTTCACGCTATTCTTAAAAATAATTTGAACAAATAAAGCAATTAATAATTAGTATAATTTTAATGTAATTGTTCATATATGTATAGATTCAATAGTAATATGGTGCAAAAAATACTCTTGGAAGTTAAGTTTTTAGAAATCGCCTTAAAATTTAAAAATATAATAATTGGAAATGTGCCTAGTAGTACTTTAATAGTATAAAATATGGCGCTAAATCCCTGATTGTGTAATAATTGAATATTGCTGCAAATTATTAAAAAGTTAAGTTAAATGATTAAGTTCCATTACAATATCAGCAATTCTTGAATTGTGAATGTCAAAGAACTGAGTTCAGGAGTTACAGACCGTGGTGTAGCTAGAAGCTTAAGGTCGACTACTCCTTCAGGCCAATTGGCAGTATTCATGGAGTTCTATTCACAGGGGCTATCTATGAGCACTGTGCTTCGACTTAATTAAGACTTCAAGCAATCCGATCTGATTTGAACACGTTATTGATTTTTCTTTTTCTTCAATCAAATTATCAAGGATCTTCTTAGGCATAACCTTGAAAGAAGTCGTTGATTAGACATAAAAAAAAGCACCTAAGGTGTGGAAGGAATGAACTGGGCTCAGACAAGCCAAACAGTTAATTGAAAACCCTTTCTCTTTTATAATTAAGTTGTTATTATGCCTAGATAGAAAGAAAATCCAATTAATTTTTTGAATACTAACAGGCCACTGCAAACTTAAAAGACATCTTTTGATTTGAGGGATAGTTGACAAAATGTGCCTGTTTATTGTAGCTTAGATACAGAATAGAATTATCTGCTTGAGTTTGCAGATACTTTGCTGCGACTAGGTACGCAGGTGAAGAGTTATTCCTCTCGACCTCCTCCTGCGGGAAGACCTTTATCGGTACAACATTATGAGGGATGACTTGGCGGATTTGCCAGCAAACATTCGGGAGAGGATTTGTGATGACCCCAGAAGATGGAAGATGATTCTCCGGTAGGATACATTGGAACAATGGAATCGGCAATGGGTGACAACCCGGAACACAGGTCCACACTAAGAAAATTCTTTCCCATCATTAAATCGCGCTTAGAAAAAAAATGGGTCCTCCCGGACTACTGGGTCTCACAGATCCTCACGGGGCATGGGGGTTTCAGAGCGAAACTTTTTACACAAGGTAAAAATATCGATCCCTTATGCCTCACTTGTGGAGTACCTGAAACCGCTGAGCACATCCTTGTAGCCTGCACCAGCTATGAGGCACTGAGGGCCAAATTAATGAGGGATACAAGGCATTTCGTTCTAACAGAAAGACAATTACCCCAATTGATGTCTGAACAAAACTACCCGCACTTTAAAAGTTTTGTATGCGGGTGGAAAAAAACTGTGGGCCCAACCCACTTCTCCCTGGGTAGGCGTGAAGAAGCAGTACCTGGAAGGCCGCTGATTAGGACAGGGGAAGAAGATCGAGGACGATAAACTAAGGGACAAAATTATGATGTAGGCTATGTGCACAGCAATTTAAAAATGTAAAAAGATAAACTTGCAACAGTGATTTATTATACAATGCATATCAAGTCACTGCTGCAAACTCCCGTATTGTCTTAAAGGCAGGGTAGGGAGGAAAATAAAATAAAATAATAGGTACGCAGGTATGTGGAACCATGGATTTAATTTAGTTTTTATTTTAAACAGATTTAATTATGTTATTCTTTGCACCAGATTAAATATTTTTGGAAAGAGGACAGATGTGACCTCCAAGATTCATGGACCATGTCACAAATTTCCTTTTTCCAACCTGTGAACATCACCTGACGACCGATACTAGTGCAAATGAAAAAATAAAAAAGTATATATATATAAAGATAAAATACTGTTGAAGACGACTACTTACTGGAAGAGGACTGACGGGACTGGCAGACTGCTGGGGCAGGATGGGCTGGGGGATGGCCTGTGGCGGCTCGAGGTCGAGTAGCGGCGCCCCCACTGGCCTGGGGACCACCGCGCTCACCCTCGGGACCACCTTGGGCTCCGGCTCGGTCCCCACCACCGCCTCGCTCCCGATGTTGTGACCTGTGCAGGATCGTCATCAGCATCGCTCAATGTCTGTAGGCCAATCCTTATTATAATTTCCCATTCTTAGTCCGTCGTTTTATAAATAACATCAATAGAAAAGTGAGGTCAGTTATTGATAAAGGAATAATAATTAACTAGTAGGCCCGTGCGAAAAATTCGCAGAGCATACAAAAAACAAATGCCAAATTAATAAGAAAATAAAATAATGCAACGTATCAAAAGATAAAGAAATCAAATGTTACTTTATCGATAAATATAATCGACAAAGCAAACAAAAATTAATTAAAATCTTCATTTTTGTTTGGAACCAACATGTATACAAATTTCAGTAAGTTGTATCTTTGCTAAAAAATTTCCGATTTCGATGATTTTTTTTTTCCTTTTGTAGGGAATTTAGTAATCTTTTATATAATCATGAGCATAACCGAGAGAAAAGTGTGTAATTTTTCAGTTATTCGCAAATAAAGTTTGTTTTCTTTCATAACTTGTTTGTCTGAATTTTCGAGGAGATTCGACTATTTTTCCCGCCTGAAAAAGAAGGAAGCCTTCGAAATTGGCGGCTCAATCCTGAGTTAATTTGGTGAAAAATTAACGATGATATGGCTTGCCGATAAAAAACATCATCGATGAATAACATAAACTCCTCCTCTCTCGATCATAGAGACCTCAAGTCGACAAAATGAGACATGTATTCAATGACAATACTACAATTAATTTAAGGTTGTGTGGATGCGAACCCTATGCCTTGCGTTATCTCAAAAATAGTACGTTTTGGGGCTTAAAAACGCAGGATCCGATAGTTCCGAAGGATGCTGTACGCATCAAAATCTTCAAGATCCAATTTGTCCCGTATCGATCTACAGACCGTCCCAGTAATGAAGCCTAGCAAAATGTTGGTATCGACTTTATTTATTTTAGAAAGAAAAGAGATTCGCTAACCTTCCGTGAAATTCTGAATCCAACGGTACCCCATTAATAATATTTTAGCATGACAGGAGCTTATATTTGGTACAAAACCGATTTCGAGCCTTACTGTAATAATATATGTGGGGAGTGGGGATAGGGATTAATATCTTTCCTATCATCTTTCTGTTTCAGTATCACACTCTTTGAAGGTTTATATTGTCTGAATGACCGTTCCAAAAATAGATCATTGTAAAAAGGATGAGATGGAATTCTAATATAATCTAATGTTTCCCTACTCTATTTTTTTTACAATGTTTTATGAAATTTATGGCTATATTACTAACTGATTATTACGAAGCAATAACTTATGGAAAATTATATATTCACAAATTCACAATTAGTACTCTTTGCTATTGTTTTGGTATACTCATAATTATTACCCTTTGCTCCCATCTGCTTATCGAATTCCTTGAATGATAAATAACTGATAGGGAGGAAACAGGGCAAACCACATGATCGTCAAGGTGTTTATGGATAATATTTTGACATGATAAGGAAAATTGGGAATTCAGGGTAAGAATTTTTGATTTCAAGGATTGAATTCAGTCGAAATTCAAAAGTTTAGAGGAATTCTATAGTTCTAATCAATATTTCCAAATAGACAAGATTGGAAATGAATGCTGAAGTAATCGAAAATGGTGAGTACTTACTAGCAATTGACAGATTCTCAGGTTTATGATCGATAATTCTGTTTGTTAACATTTCGGGATTTCTTACCCATCCTCAGGCCATTGCGTTGTATTCAGTTCTCATCAATTTCCAGAAATACGTAATAAATGAATATTATTAAAAATAAATATTGTATATAAATTTGTTGACTGTTATATTTACCATTGCTCCAGATAACACTTATGGAACAAAATGTATAAAACTAAGACAAAGGGGGACACATACCAAATCAGTAAATATAATTGTTAACAAATTTAAACACGTAACAACATTTATTTTAGTAATATTTATATTTCTATAAATTGTTATTGAATGCAACGGAAACGTCTGAGGATGTCGGAAAAGGAATTCCGAAACGTTAACAAAGGGAATGTGTGTCAAATATAACAATTGATTGTATCAAAGGCAGCTTTTATTGACAACCTTTTAACTAACGCTTCCAACAAAAGAGGGGGGAAAAATTGTATTTATTTATTTCCATCTGATTCAATAATTTTTATAACTGTTGGATCGATGTATCATTTGAATCAAATCTTGGCATACAACTAAATATTTATTCAGTTAATAATAATTGGCTTAGTGATTTTGTGGCTATTTGAAAGTTTTAATTGACATCGTTAAAAATGAAGACCGATAATTAAATGATATAACCGATGGATAATTAGAAAAGAGAATGTTTTACCAATGCATAGGGCTTAGTACTTTCGAGAGTCGAGTGTTTGTTTCGGAACTTGTCGACACGGCGAGATGAGCCTGAGGAATCGATATACATTAGGCATAACACAGCTGTATCAGTTCCCGCTGTGCATGTGTGCCCAACACGACAGAGTGAAGTTGGCACATTAGCCTACCAATATTATTGATCATCTGGTTCTGTTCCTCTGGGCTACGCTATATCTTGAGCTAGTTGGGGCCCTGTATAAACCAAATAAAATTAAATACTTTAATTTAAAACTAATTTTTAAATGTTATTATTATTATTAAGGTGAAGGTCACGCCCGATAGGACGGCCCGATATTTTAATAGGCCACCTTTATTCTCGTTTTTTTTTTTTTTTTATCAAATTATCTTACGATTCAATTGGAAAGGAAATCGTTGTTCATGAGGTATTTATACCTAATTAAATAGCAAATTTTTCTGATCTCCAGTTTGAAAATGCAACCGTTCCGAGAATTGTCTCATATAAAAAAAGTTGTTGGTTACAATGAGATAGAGCTATTCACGAAGTATTTTATGTGGGTGTTAATAATTTGATTAAAAGGAGTCTGTACCACGGACAAGCAGAAGGTTTAGTGATTATCAGAATCCATTCTGAAAATTTTTCAATCGCCGTTAAAAACCGTAGACTTACATATCTCTGAATTATTAATGGTTATTACAAAGTATAATCTATTGAAAAATCATCAAATGTAAAATGATTCTTTTTAAATCCTAAAAATCACCAACTGTCCTCACTATTCTATGAAATTGCAAAATAAAAATAAACTGAATCAATGTGCATTCAGGATACGAGTCATAGTTAATAATAAGAATTTTATTTACAGAATCTAATGAAGCATATCATATTTATAAAGCCTTTTACAAATTTCAAGTTAAAAAATTTCGATCAGAAAAATGATTATTCAACTTTTGAAAATGTTTCCATTGTAAAAATGCAGGGATTCATTAAAGTTAATTATAGATAGAAAAACAAATTAAAAGATTACTATTAGATTGTTGGGGTGCCAAATAAATGTTTCAAAATGTGTGGACAATCAAATTAAAACAAATAATTTTGTGTTCTAAATAATTCATTTAGAATATTTTTGTAAAATTACCATTAGAAACAGTGAAAATCTCGTAATAAGGCATTTCAATTACATGTTATCTGAAAAAAAAAATCGAAAATTAAATTATTTTTCGTTACAAGTAAATTTGGGCGATCTCGTACTCTATTTTTCTTCAAAGTTTTTTTTTTCAAAGTTCAGATATTTTTTCATCACACTGCTTAAGCAGTGGATAGAAAATAAATTTGGTGTTTGAAGTTCTGATGTATGTAAATTTTTAACACAAAAGGGAACTCATTCATAAAATGTATTATTATACTGGAAAAGATCTATATACAATACAAGACTACTCATATACTATTTATCGTACATGTCTAGAGTTGTAAAAAAAAATAAGTTCTTTTATAGTTGTTTTAATTATCTAGTTTCTATATTTGTAAATATTATTATTTCCCGTAAGAAAATGATTTTTTAATTCGTCTATTTCTTATTAATAAAATCGTTCGTGACTTGCTGTTACACAAAACAATCGGTATAAATAGAAGTTTATAAAATAATTATCTGTTTTTTTTTGGCTATAAATCGATAATATTCATTAGAAGTTAATTTCTCCTAGCTCACGTGCCTTTTAGAAACATGGTTGAATTAAATCAGTTTTTTTTTATATTCGTGATATTTATAACTGCATTAAAACAAAATGAATCTAGTAAATTTGAAAGCAGGGATATAATGACATTATAGGACTTGTGAAGAAACTTCCCATTGTTAGCACTCAGATCAGCCCATTTTCTTTTCAGACGCCTCGGAGGTAGTGTTGCCCAAATGCAAGACCAAGACAGTCTTGGTCGTGCGCAAGAGTCTCGCAACAGTCTTGCAGTTACCTATTAGCCTATTGCTATATAGATATTACTGTAATTTTTCAGATAGTGGAAACCTAGCTAAGCCAGAATGAACAATTGGAAGAGTTAAATGCAAAACTATATAGGTTATACCAATTCTTTACATATAGTAACTAAAATTGTCAAGTATTAGTAACTATTTTGTATTCACAAAAAAGTTTTTTTTTTACCGGTCTTGGTCTTGCAACAGTCAGGTGGTCTTGGTATTGGTCTAGCAAAGTGCATAACCAATACCAATTTTGTGCAACAATAATCGGAGGATTATCAGAAATCGAAGAGAAAGCAAGGTTAGAAACGAGAGGGTTCTGAAATTTATCATGGAAGGATAGGTATCTGGATTGGGCCAAATCGGGAACATGTGGAACATTAACGTCATTATGGATGATTTTATTTGTGAAAACGTAAGGAGATTTAAGGATTTTCCGAAGTATTGGAATTGGGTTTAGTGGAGCCCGAAAACTCAACTCCGTACGTCTATTTGTAATTAATTGGAAGCTTAAAGCCTCTGTATAGGAAGTGCTGAAGTAGTCTGAAACGTGAAGCGGTTTCTTGTCGTTTCAGTGTGTATGAGGATTCCAAGTTAGACGTTTGTCCAGATCGAGTCTTAGTAGGTATCGGATTTGTTCAAAAAGGGTAAGTAAGGAATTATTATAAGATATTGTTGACAGAATTTCATAGGTATACGAATAAGGATAAGGTTGATTTGATGGGATTAATTGGAATTTATTTTAATCCTTCCATTTTGAAATCTTTCAAGTTTTGTAATGTATGATTGAAAAGTTTTAGTTAAATTTTAAAATACAATTCCCGTTTTTTACACTGATTAAATTTACTTTTAAAACTTTTACCCATGCTTAAAAACATTATGAATTTTTATTTCTTTTTTTTATTTCTTCAGTTGTGCCAGTTTTAATGTTTTTTTATTTTTATTTAGAACTGTTTAAGTATTAGTAATATTATTTGCGTATGGTATTCATTGTATTAATTTCTATTATTTATTCATAAATAAATAATAAACAAATAATTTGTTGTATTATTGTTATATAGAATTTCTTCATTTTACATTTTTCCGTAGTCATGAGACCCGTTTTTTTATTAATATGCTCTATAAACTGTGCAAAAATGATTATTATGACAGTAGCATGAAATATACCACGAGCTGTGTAGTATTAAATATGGAATTTTTTAATATTTATTATTGATATTTGGATCCTATATTAGCCTTATTTTTATCATAAATGTATTTTAAGTAATTCAGTGTTCGTGTTGTAAGTAATGGATGATTTCAATATAAGCTTGTATTTTGTTTTAGTATTCATTTAATGGGTTGATTTATTTTTTATTTTTGCAACAAATTTCAATTTTGTTAATGCTGTATATTGGTGAATTGGTTTAGGGTCTTTGTCTCTATTGATAATTGTAGGACTTTTAAAATGATTCACAGTTGATAATTGGATTTATTTTGTTAGATGATAAATTAATATCAACTTCAAAAAAGGTATGAGAATAAAGTCTTAAGAAACTCTTGTTAATATAACTGTAATAAAGGAGGTCTCTGAACTTAGTCGAAAAGATTTAAGGTGGTCAAACAAGAGAGATGGTAAAGTTTGGCACAAGGAACCAAATCTTGTTAGAATAATCTGAGAAATCTACTAACGCTATCTAGACGTAGAGTTTTAGTTCTAGTATTTGGAACCTTTGAATGCCTTATGGCTGTGTTGAGTAATGCAAATTAGTGGCCTGTGTGTTCGTGAATTAATTTTTAGTATTTCTTTGTGTTTGTTTCGTTAAAGCTTGCTGTTATGTAATTCATTGTCTCATATACTACATATTCTGGTTTACACAGTTAGAAATCAGCGCAGAAAATTCCTGCAGAAACTATTCTATTGATAGAAGAAATTGTATTTGAACGAGGGTGAATGAGTATGATGGGCCCCGCCTTTTCTATTAGCTTTGTCATAAAGAAGGGAGCAACGAAAAAAGGTTCGATTCTTCTGAATCGATTAGTTGTAAGTAGGACGAGGTATCTGCGTGTTCCTCATCCCTGGGCACGCTGTCCATCCCTCATTACTGTCCAGCTCGAGTAAAAAAATATTGTTGTAGGAATAACGTTTATATTTCATGAAAAATAGATCTTAAAAGAAGTCGGTCGGGGGTTCGATCAATAAGCATATTATATATTATAGCAGTGTTTTATTGCAACATTTTGACCTATTTGTAAGTCTTCGTCAGGCGATGATGATAATGATGAGTCTCCTAACATCGTTCGGATATGCTAGATGGATTGCCCTGATGAAGACCTACAACGTACAATAAAACACTAATATAATATACAGTATGTCTATTGACCGCAACCTGGAAGAACTTCTTAAATTAGAATTACGGTCAGTTATCTCTTTGTCATGAAAAATGAATATGTTTATTTGTCCACATAAACCAATCTGCTATTATATCTAGTTCCTCAGCTATAAACAACTTGCAAAAAACTGAAGTCGACCTACATTTTTACAATAGAGTCTGAATAAAAAAAAAAATTAATAAATAACTATATAACCATGCTCAACAAACCTAAATGAATGTTTAATATTATAAACTGAATTTTACTTTGCATATTGCAAACCATCCTAAAATTTAATGCTAGTTGCAGCTAAGACATGCAAGGTGTAACTTACCCATCCTGACTCACCTGTGTCGACTATGACGTCGATGAGGTCCATGCTCTTGGCGAAGGCGTCCCTAAGGTTGATGTGGTGGAAGGAAACGATACTCCCCTCCCTCTTGGCCCGCTCCAAAGCCTCCCTCCTCTTCAACGCTTTCTCCCTCCTCATCTGGTTTTTGTAGAACTCGGCGAAGTTGTTGACGATGATAGGAATAGGAAGAGCGACTACGAGGACCCCGCAGATACAACAGACACTACCAATCACTTTCCCCAGTGGGGTCGTGGGGTAGATATCTCCATATCCTACCGTTGTCATTGTGATACCCGCCCACCAGAATGTCTCCGGGATAGATATGAATTTGGTACCGGGTTCGTCTTTCTCAGCGAAATAGGCCAAACTGGAAAATATTAACACTCCCATTGCGAGGAAGAGCATTAGAAGCCCGAGTTCTTTGTAAGAGTTCCTCAAGGTGAAACCCAAACTTTGAAGGCCCGTCGAGTGCCTTGCCAACTTGAGTATCCTGAGTATCCTCATAATCCTGAAGATTTGGACGACTTTCCGGACGTCCTGGAACTGATCGTTTGCGTTTTTATTCGTTTCGACGAGAAAAAGTGATACGTAATACGGTAATATAGCTAACAGATCGATTATATTCAGTCCTCCTTTGAAAAACTTCCATTTATTAGGTGATGCCGAAAACCTAAGGACGTATTCTAGGGTAAACCATGTTATACACACTGCTTCTACCATTGCCAACTGCGGATTGTCGTGGGCTATTCCTTCGTCTTTCGTCTGCAGCTGAGGGATGGTGTTGAGGGTGAGAGCAACCGTCGAGAGAACGATGAAGAGGATCGAGATGATTGTTATTACCTGGAAATATGATTGAGTTGACTAAATTTCGTAGGCTGGTAGGAGGATATGAAAGGGGTGTGGGCGAGGAGACCTGGGGGCGGTTTGGCCAGGGGTCCTCGGGGTCGCTCCTCGCTATCCCTTGGTCCTTCCGCGGGAACAGAGACATGTCATTAGTATTGGGAACTTTGGGGTAGGGGGCGTTGAGGTACTTTGGAGCATCCGAACTGAGAACAGTTGGGAGTCTGATTCAATGGACCCCTGGAGTTCTCAGGTCCATGCTCGCCAATGTCCAAAGTCAAGTTTTTTTTCGTGTTTTTATTTATAACTATTTGCCTATATTTATTAGTGTAATTATTTTATTTGTTCCTTAAATATTCATATATATGTCCATATTTTTTAAAACTCGTTATAAATCTATATATTTAATATCAATACCATCATTACCATTAATTGTTTTTTACAATCATTTAACTAAATTTTACTTTTATTTATCGATTCCCTGTCCTGTTTAAAGTCGAGAATGGGAATTGGTATCTTTAAACATTGACACAGATGGGAGTAATAAACAGAATATTAAGCGTATAGACTTGGAAATGATCTCATCTATAAATAATATAAAAGACGCAACAGGTCTCGCAGCTGTCAACATTAAAAACGTTATGAAGCTGCTGCAATATTAACTGATTTATATAAATGAACAATTTAATTTATGATCAGATAAAATTGAAGTGTAAATAAATATTGATTTTTTTTCCCATCTCTTTTAAGTTAATTTTTTTTAATATACTTTGCAATAAAAAAAAAATATATAGAGCATTAATTAAGAAAAAGGAGTGAATTGCTTCCTGATATTTCTTAGTTATATCAATTTACCAATAAAAAATATTGAAATTCCAACTTTTTAGTTAAATGTTTAGATCGTTTTTATTGTATTCATATGAATATTAATAAAGTCCCTTAATATCCGATCAATCATGTTTTGTAATTTAGTTTTTGCATTTATTATTCTTTAGTGTTATTTTTTTTCCTTGTTGACTGAAATTGAAGTGAATAGTGTGAAAATGTTTTCAGTTCTTTTTAAAAAACAATCATTCTTAAAACCGGATGTTTTAAAAGTAAGTATTGGTTAGCATGTTGGATTTATATACTGGAAACTAACTTCATAAGTCATATGGGTGCGTCTAGGAAGATGATTTTATAATAGTGGGTAATTTGAAATATTAATTCTAATAAAAAAAAAGGAAAGTATATCATAAATGAAATTTATTTAAACAAATTCTGCTTTCTAATACCTAATGTAAAAGAAATAAAAAAAATAAAAGAAAAAAAATATACTATGTAAAGGTGAATAATGAAAATAAAAAGTCAGATATTAAACACTCTCAGATATGATTATTTTATTTTTTTTAACTATGGAGTTTCGTGTAATTTGTAATTATTTATTGTATTTGTTACTTTAATATTCAGTTTAAAAAATACGATAATTTCGGGTATTTTTTTAAATTGTTTTCTGTCCGAATTTTGTTTAATTATCTATTTTTTGTTGAAAAAATATTTAGCTAAATTTTATTACAAAGATTGAATAAAATAACTGATAAATAAACTATTATGGCTCGTTATTGTTTTATTTAATTTTTGTTAAGTGTTAACAAATGTTTGTAAAAATATGTTTAATAATCTGCCACTCAATATATAAAATACGACTTTTATAAAAATAGTAATAAAAAAGTATTATTATATATAATTGTTATGCAATAAAGGCCAAGCACATGCCAGCATGCCACCACACCCACTAATTATTTGAATAGATTTTTAAATAAATGTTTACAAAAATCTAATTAATTATTTGTCTATTGATTTTATAACAATATTTCCAAAGTATTATTCTTTCGATCAGCTAAATCATGTCATAAACTAAGTTTAATAATTATTTAAACGAATCAGCTAATTGAATACATCATGCATGACCGAAAGTTCTACAGATTTTATTAGAAAAGACTAAGTTAAAAACCAAATTTAAGGTTACCTATATTACCCATAATAGGCTATGAATCTATTCTGATGTTAGTTATCAAAAGTGCTTCCTACTAAAGTAAATTAAAAAAAAAAATTAAATGTTTGTTGATAATAAGAATATTCTAGAAATCAGAGAAAATGAAAATCTGTTGGGTTTTCTTTATCTCTAGAGTATATATTAATACTAAAAGAAGAAATGATCTGAGTTACAATATTGGGATTTAATTTTTTTAGAACTTAAGGCACACAATATTGAATTTTACAGCAATAATTTATATCACATATAATATTTATATTGTATAGAACAATTTATTTTAATACTTGATGGTATTATAATAAACTACAAAATACAAACGATATTGTAACCGAAAAAAGAATTTTAAAACATTCCCTATTAATACTTATAATAAATAATATATTCAGACATATTTGTTTCAAAAGATTATTTTTTTCAATATTTTAACTAATAAAAATATTTGTACAACTTTAAAAATGTATTGTAATTTATCATGACTACTGAGAAAAGTTTTGTGGTAAAAACTGATAATCTATATCGAAATTATTTTTTGTATTTTTCTTAATGTTGGATAATTATGTAATTTGAATTATAGTATTCTGAATTTTCCAGCAACAGATAGATATAATATATTTATACTTTGCTACAGTTTAATTTCTTTACACTGATATTTTTTCTACTTATCCAAATAATTATTTAATTCTCTGTACTATATACATATTTAATCGCAGGAATTGTTCCAAGGAAGTTTATAAACGATGAAGTTTTCTATTTTCAGTCCTGCACTCCCAATAACTAGTTTCCAAAGTAAAATCCTTTTGATACAAAGAAAAGCAGTTTTGTAATTTTTTAAAAACATAAAAATATGCTACAGTAACCCCAAACTTTAATGTAGGGCATGTTTCTTAGTGTTTCTCTATCCACTGTAGTTTTGGTTATTAAAATTTTGAACACTGAGAAAGCCTTAAAAGGCTTCCTTAGTTGTCTCACTTAAAAATCAAATCACTTCTCTTTGGGGACAATAGGTCTTTAATGAAATAAATGGAACATTTTGACCTTAAGAGATAGGAGCCACTCTACTACTTTTTTAAAGAATATCCAGAAACATCTTGAATATGGTTTAGAAGAATAGTTCTGCATTAACCTTATCCTTCGATTCCAGAATGAACTGGTCACGGAAAAGAATTGAATTAACGCAAAACTAAAAAAAAGATGGCATTGATTTTTCTTTTGCATTAATTAACTTGATTAAACTCAAGGGCATATTAACTCTTGACTTAGTTTACCGTACTTAAAAGGCATTTACTCAGGCATTACTTCGGCCGGCTTTGCGGTTCTTGAAACGGATAAAGCTGAGCGTTAGGACACTATTCGGTTAAAGTTATTTTTTTACTACTAGAATCGATAAGAGGTTTAGGGTTCAGTACTTTGTAAGGAAGTACTGTTTCAAGACCAACGGTTATTCAAGGACGTGATTAGGCCAAGATCACTCTCAACCGGAAGGTTTTTCCTTAATTAATTATTTAATAAAGAGTAACCCAATTTTTAGAAGATGGGTTGACTGAAGGAGGGTTTACTGATATCAGGATTGCCCGACGGCCGGAATCGAGCCCGAGAACTTTAGCTCTCGTTAAACATATTGTTAAGGCCTAAATTACTCTGCGTTCCTTTACTTTCTCTCTGCACCTAACATTACAGTATGCGGGATACGTTAGTACAATTTTAAGTATTTCATTGATTTTCCTTATGAACGAGAGTTTTATCTTGGATACCTAGTAAAGAATGAGTGTTTGTAGCAGAAATTCCACTGTGTAAAGTATGGATATATTGGATCATATTTTTAACCATCAAAACCAGAAACTTAAAAGGCGCTGTAGTTAAGAACCTACAGCCAAAACTTATCCTTTTGGCTGCTACACTGTAATCGCTAGTACTGACCCTCGCACCGATGGAGGTGGTCGGCTTCTCCAAGAGGTCCCAGAGGAATTGCTGGTAGTGGGCACACTTTCCCTCTCCGAACTCCTCTTCGTCCCTCTGCCGAAGCGACTCCGCCTCCTTCCGCATCTCCTCGTGGACGTGTTCCTTCCTCTGGTGGTACTTGTGCTGGCAGCAAGACTCCAGGTAGAGCTCGTCCACTCCCCAATATTCGAGGTCCTCGGAGAAGGCGAGCACACACATCTCGTCCACTAAGTGAAGCTTACCCGTCCGGTAAAAGTTAAGGATGGAGGAGAAGGACTTGGGGTGGCGATCGAAGAAATACTCGTTGTCGATGAGAGAATAGTCGTCACAGAGCTCGGTGATTGCTTCGTGGGTGTTGCAGTCTCTTAGTCGTCCGAGCCTGCAACAGTTGGTTCTTTTGTAACCCAACAAATATTCATTATTTATAAATTTAATTGATGTTAATGAATTGATTAGTTATTGGTATGAATTGATTTCGCTGTAATAATGTTTATGTGTAATTTAATATGTTTTTAATCTGTAAATATTATGTACCATGTACATGCCATATGCCGTTCAGTTGATAGAATGATAAAGTGTAATTTCAACCAGGGGTAGAAACTGTTATAGAACTAATATAAAGAAATCCATTTTAACAATTTCTATGAAACATGTTAGGAAAAAAGCTTTTAAAATAAAAGCCCTAAGCAATTTTTTTGTAGTGAAGTGCTAGATTTATGGTAAGAGTGGAACTTTTGATTTCTTAAAAAAAGTTTCTTTAAATGAGAAATGAACAGTAGTTAGAATTAGATTAGTGTTATAATTTAGCTTAAAGGAATGACTTGATTCTAATGTGTCTTTTTTTTTTTTGCATTGATAAGAATAAAAACCATTTTTTAGATCGATGTTAGGGAAAATCAACAGTACTTTTTAATATATTTATTTTTAAATAAAAGCTCTGCTAAACCTTTACTTAAAAAGTTTTATTTCCAAAATGAAAAAAAAAAACAAAAAAAAAAACTAAAAATGAAAACTTCAATGATAATGAAAATCAATAAAAGTTAAAGACTTAATTTTCAACAACTCCAATGATTTTTTTTTTTTTTGTTAGAAAATGTTTTACAATAAAAGTTTTAAATAATTGTTTTGTACGAATGATCTGTGTTCATTGTATAGGTATTACTTATTTAAGTAATTAAAACAAGTTATCTTAAGTGAGAAATGACCAGTAATTGGACCTAGATCACAAATATAATTATCTTGAATAATTTGTTTGATTCTTCTATTAACAACCTAATGCATAATCACAATTTTTTAAACGAAATTAATTGCTTTAACCAATTTGATTGGAAATTAAAGAATGAAAAAAAAGAAAAGTTACAGTCATATTAAAATTAATAAAAAATAAAAATTAACTTCTCATTTCAACCGTTGTAAAATGATTTTAAGTTCAATCTTTATTTTTTTCAAACATATTAAAAATTATAAATCCATTTTTAGTAGTTCTGCCACACATTTGAGACTTGTAAGAATTTCTTATCCAACTTAATTCCACAAATCTTATATGTTCTATGACTTGTGGTTACACAATTTATTTTTATGTAAAGAAAACAATTTCGATAAAATATATAATACTATCCAATATTCCCTAGATTGTAAATTCGTGTAAAGCGAAAGTCTAAATTATTTTACCCCGTATCATAATAGACTTTTAATTATGTATCACATTATATTTAATACATATTAAATTATTATATGATAAGTATATATATACATGAGTGAGATTTGATTATCAGGGCTGGAGGGAGGGTTGTTGAAGGGAGGAGGGAGCTGCATGGATACTTGTTGATCTGTTTAGCATATCTATGGCGCCGTGGTGACACCTAGTGATGAGTAGCTGGTCTCTCTGGCTATATTAGGTTTTGGTTTTCCCTTCTCTGATAGTAATAAAAGACCCAATCTTATAATAAAGAAAAAAAAACTAAGAATAATGTATATTATGTGAATCTTCTACTTTTATGATTTTATATTCTGATTTTTAGTTTTTGAGAGCATGGCATTTGATTCGTGAATACGTTTCATACTGTTCCATTAAATTATTTAAAATTTAGGGAATTGTTTTAAAATATTGACCGTTATATATTTATATCAATTCAATTTTTTAAACAACTATAAATGAGAGTAAAAGAGCGTAAAAGAAATATAAAATCTTCTTTAAGTATAAAAGCATTCGCTATTTTTGAAGGATAAAAACAAAAAATACAGAGTGTATAATTATAATAACTAATTTTGGCCTGTTAATAAAGTAACAGAATTAGAGACATTTTGGATTAAATACAATTCGGGGGGGGGGAGGAGAGAAAGAGTTGAGGGGGCGCCAAATGTTCAAGATCGGCACTGGTATCAACTAATCAGGCTTAATGTGCCTATATTCATTTCTCAGGTTAAAAGGGCCGATCGAGCTAACGCGTGTTGCCCGACAACGTGATACATGAGATAACTTCGCGTCCCAGTGTCGAAGGGTTCTTTTAACTCTGGCATTATCCCCCCGCCTTTACCTCCTGGCCCGAGAAACTACCCGTATAGCCTAAAAGGCGAGAAAGGGAATGACAAAAAAAAAAAAAAAAAAAAAAATCTGGTCTAAATGAATTTCAGTTCACCTAGGTCAGAACGAATCCATATAATTTAGAACAATCCATTCTGGGACCCTCGCTCTAAAATTCTAGGCCATAACTGTTCTCTCATCTTTAACCATCTTTTTTCCTGACCTTTTTTTGTTTTAACTAAGGTTGGTTTACCTCATGTTTGGCCAACACAACGCACGCGTTCCACAATGTGGCGCCACATGCCAGAAATTTGCATGCATCTGGGCAGTATTTTTTTTTTATTTTAATTTCATTAAAAAAAAATCATGTTCTCCTTCTTGTTTTCTTTAAACACGTACCCATAATGAAAGATAGGTCAGATTACCTTGTGTGAGGTAGGCGCTCGAGCGTTCTCCAGAGGACCTCATGCTTGACCCCTCCTACGTTGATAACGACTCTCCTGTTCAGCGCCTTTGAGCGCATGATCATGAACGGCTCCGGCGGGAGCGAGCTCAGAGAGCGGGAGTGGGCCCGGAGCGGGCAGCCCGTCTCCCCCATCCTCCCGCCCTCTTCTCGTCCTGACCTGGAAATTACAAATAATATTTATTTATTTTGTATGTATATTTATCCATCCATAAAGTAAATATATTAATATTTGACTTCAATACATTAATAAATTATTCAATACATATTTACAACAACACTGCAAAAACCCTGTAATCACAATTTTATTAGAAAGCCCGATTTTATGTTTAATGTTATTTAAATCATTGTATCTTTGTCTTAAGCACCCAGTAAAAGTTAAACGGAAAATCGAATTCATAAAATAGAAATATTTGATTTATTTCATCTTAATTTTAGCTCTTGCACATCTTACTTTTGTAGTGTGGCTGTCAATGTCATTCATTTGCTGCAACAACTTGATAGTTCGAAAATTAATAGCTTTACCACAAGAACAATTAAAATGATGTGAAGTGGAGTGGTTCATTTCTCCCTAGACGATTCATTCAATATTTATATTTTTTATTATAGTTTAAGAGAAGGACCAATGAAGAACTCTTTACAGAAATCATTCCGTCTGTGTACCATATAAAGGCAAAGAGGTTAAGCTGGACAGACCATATAGCCCAAAGCAATGCCACCATTATGAATGCCATTCAAAAGACCATAGACCATATGGTCGGCCAAAAACCAGATTGATAGATAGAATTAACAAAGATGCTGTTCACGATAGGTGGAAAAAGCTGATTCATGGGGTGAAATCTCTACTGGTCCTAGGAACCCGACAGAAAAAAAAAAAAAATCTAATATATATATTTATCAATTTTAGTTCATTATAAAAACTGTTTGGAGAAGCGGGGCACTGACTTCCTAAGTTTAAGGTACTGGGTTCGAATACAGCTGATGACAGGTAATATTGTTATTAGCTGTGGATCGACCCCGGGGCTCGGGTATCCTCCTGGGGCACACCCAGTGGGTACTCTCAATTGAATAATGAATTAAGATGGAAACTCTTTCTCCATCCTGCCCTTTTGTAGGATCGCCTTTTAGACTACACAGGGTTTTCCAGGGCCAGAGAGATGAGTGCGAGGAATTAATGTCAGAGTTAAAAGCTCCCCTCTGGCAACGGGACGCGAACTCGGAATAATTTTATCGAAATTATCTTCCGCCAAGTTGCAGGGTAATGAGATGCTGTGCAAATTCGTTAACCCGCTCGGCCACTCCTCCACCGAAGAGAGAAAACCTGCCGGTAGAGCGTGATCCAGAGCCGATCACCTTCCTGCACAATCGTTGGCCTTGAAACTTCCTTGCAAGGAACCCAAGACCCTTCATGGGTTGTAGTGATACAGGTAATAAACATTTCTTCATTTTTATGTTATTATGTAAAATAGTTAGTTTTGAAAGAGCTTATAATACAAAATAAAATAGTCTCTATTTGGTAGTTTTGTCTCATTTTCCTGAACTATCTAATTGTCTTTTAAGAAAAGTGGATATCTATATTAATACCAATTCATCAACAACTTTCCATCATTTTCGAGATTAAATGTAAGTACTGTATTATAAACGAATTCTAATCGAATAAACATTCAAACCTTATTAAAATATGTAGTTCTAATGTTAGTTATATTTTTTTTCTATTTTGATTTATTATTTTTAATAATGAACCATAAGGATCGAACAAAAAAAATCAAAAACTTAACCCCTCCCCCCAAATTTGAGGTTTTACATTTCAGGACACGTAGAATTCGAAAAACGAATGCAAATTTTGTTGTCCGTCCGCCGTCCGCGCATTTTTTCCGAAACTATTGGACCGATGTTTTTCAAATTTGACTTCAAAATTAGAGGTCACCCGAGGATGATCCTCCTTCATCGACATTTTTATCCGCCTCTTCCTTTCAAGATGACGACCGAAAAACCTGTGCTGCTTTAGACTGTAGCGCCTAAACGAATGTACTGATTTTAATGAAACTTCGGTAAAGTCTTATTCTCGATGCCCTTTAAACTTATCTATATACTTCAACGAAAAGGAGTTGGAAAAGAAGTTAAGAGGGATGGTAAAATTAGATTCCGAATAACTCAAAAAGTATACTCTTTTTTATTGATATTGTATGAATATTTAAATGTTTACGGAATTTCCTAAATAAAAAAAAAATCGCTAAAATCGGACAATTAGAGGCAAAGAGATGGTCTCTAGATGTTTTTATATGTTACACTGCAACGTATATCCTTTGATATGGTTTTTGAATGTGTTACTGAAGTAATGCTAATTATTTTAGCATATTACTAATGTTTTTTCTTTTTCTTTGTTACTAGGAATGTAACATTACTTTAGATGTATAATTGTTTGAGAACAATAAGCCATTGTGAAATAATTTGCAGCGTTCTTCTATAAGTTTTTCTATGGGTTTTCTATAGGTTATACCAATTATTAACAGATAGTAACTAATATTGTCAACTTTTAGTAACTATTTTGCCTTAATTTTTATTTAAAAAATCGATTTTTTTACCAGTCCTGATCTTGGTCTTTCAACAGCTAGGTGGCCCTAGTCTTGGTCTTGCAAAGTGCAAGACCAAGACAGATTTTGGGCAATACTACTTTCAAGTAGTTTCTATTTAACTCAGTGTTTTGTAATATCAGATTTTAGTTATCTGTTGATTGCGGATACTCTTTCCAAGTCTCCTTTTACCACAAAAAAAAAAATCAAACTACAGTTGAATATATAAAATTAACGAAGGCATACTAATGCTGTAATACTTTTCTTGTGTTCTAAGTTCGATCTGCGGAAGGAATGTAATTTACTTAACTGCAAGATAACTTCTTCTAGACCGGGACAGCGATCGCCGATAGACGGGGGGCAGGGACGGAGAAAGATAAGACCACACGACGCTGCAGGAGAAGCACGCGACCCCTCGGCTCATTAACATTCCGGAGCTCCTTCCCCAACTCTGTCCCTCCTCCGGCAATAAAGGGCCTAAATGTGTTCCGCTTCTTTATGAGCAATTTTATAAACCCAATCTCGTCCTTCCCATCAGTTTGTCCGAAAGGCAAAGGCTAGTAGACTTTCTTTTATTTACTATACCGCAGGAAAGTAAATTACATTTAGTACCTAATAAATGTTTTATGCCGTTCAGAAACCTCTCTGGATGCAAGGCTTTCTTCGACCCTGTGCATCTGTCTCATAAGTAAACTTCTTTTTTTTTCTTTTCAATAGTTGTATTACGAAACAAACAGAACATTCCCAATTGTTTGGCTATATATTTATACATATGTATAACTGTTAAATCCTTATTTTACGTTTGATAAATTAAAAAAATAAATAAAGATAGATAGATTTACTGTTTAAATTATGAGGATTAAAAATAATCAGGATTCGCAGAATGGTTACTGGCAACCATTGGTAATTGTTAAGCTACTATTTATATTTATTATTTTTTAGTTCTTCTTCTTCTTCTGCTTTCTTCCTTATGACTAGGTCAAGAACTAATATGAAGAATTCGGTAGTCCTCCTCAGTTCCCTCCTGGCTTCATATAGTTTCCATTCCACTTCAGTTGGAGACTACTAGGCAGATCAGGATTTAATTTTTTGGGGTGGGGGGTGGGCTTCAGCCGAAAAGATTTTTTTCGTTTTACTTCTATACATATAAACGATAACTTAATTTGAAAAAAAACAAGAAAGAAAATTAATACTATTTGCAAATGATGTTTTAAGTGGTTCTTGAAGTCCTATTAATGTATCTACGCGAAAAAGTATACTTCTAAGAAATAGTTTTTCCCCATTACTTTTATTCCTGTTAAAACATGGTTATTTTTTACTTTTTTGGGGGGAGGCTTCCAGCCGGAAAGCCTCTCCTCCCCGTAGATCCGCTGTGGTTGAGGGGGCCAGATTCACCCTACTTTGCTGGGAGTAGGCCATGCACTTTTGTAGGATATGTAACACATTCTGTATACCCTCACCGCACTCGCAGACTAGAGCTAATTTTGAACTTAATGAAGGTAAACTTTGAGCCTGTTGTGTCCAGCTCGTAAGCTAAAGATCACATAACGAAAGATGTTTGTTGTTTTTTATTATATATTTTTTTTTATTAGTACTTTTTGGCAGATGTGATTTTTATTTTTGTCATAATTGTTATTTCTTAAGGGACCTCGTGCCAAGTCAAAAGTTTATTTTATATTCTATTCTGTTTTATTCTATATCTATATAGTATATATATTTAGTTCTATATAATGGGACATGGTTTTCAATCAGACATTCCCTTGTAATAATTTTAATAGGGTTCTTACTCGTACATTTTAATAGGATCAAAAGTGAAACTTTTTTTTTAAATTTTCTATCGTCGTGATCAGAAATATTCGTTCTGTATTAAAAATCATGAATAAGTAAAATTCGTAATCGTGTGGATGTATCAACACAAGAAAACCATAGAATTATGCCAAGTCACATAATATAAAGTCCTTATTTTATCTTGGCCAGTGTAAAAATATTTTGAGGTAGATATTTTTTTATTTGAGTGTTTTGACCACTGGGGTCATTTATACTGAAGTCTCTTTAGTTACTTGATTTTTTCTTTTTTATTGAAATGTCGGATAGTTTTTTAAGAATTTAATAAGGGGGGGTCGCTGAAGGTCGTGTCTGGGCCCTATCTCAATATTTTTCTGGGTCTGTGAAGGATCTCGGTAGGAGTCGTGAGCATACTTCCGTTAGGATGTGATACTGTTAGAATACACCCGCAGTAGGAACATGTTGGCGGTTCTTCCTTCTTCACCAGATATCCATGGGTAAGTCGACAATGGCCAATCCTGAGGCGGGTAAGAACTACCTCTTCTCTCCGTGATAGCTGTAGACTTTTTCTTGGATGTTTAACATATTGTTCGATTTTTCTTAATTTATTTTCTCTCAGGCCAAACCATTGATTTTGCCTCTCCAGCCATCCTTTTTCATTGATCCAAGATATTATATCATTGCGATATCTTATTAAAAATAATTGACCATTTTTTATTGCTAGTTTCGCCTGTGTGTCGGCATTTTCATTTTCAAGAATTCCACTGTGACCAGGTATCTATAAAAACAATAAATACTCTACAACCAGCGCCTTTC